TGTTACCCCCTGGCACCACTTCCCCACCAATGGTGGTTCCTACCTGTCCAGGAGCTGAGATACCTGTTTCAGGTACAGATTCCACATTAGTACCACTAACTGATTTGACAGACATACCTGGGCATGTTGGAGAAAAGTTCAAAGAAGCTGTAGTTCCAGCGGCGGACAAAGAGTCTAAGGCCACTCCTGCTGTTTGTGAAAACTGCAGAAGTACATCATGTTCGATCAACACCGTTTTAATCTTGTTAGCTGAAACCAACTTTGACTGGTATCCCCAACCACTAACTCTGTGTTTGGTAGCCAGAAAGATTCCTTTACCTCTGAGCCTCTATCCAGACTAGTCTTGCTCTAAGAGGAGCTGTTTTTGGTTCAGATGTACCCTGACCCTCCTCTGTAGATACTGCTACCCTGACCGCCGTATTCTGGGCAGATAGAGGTTGGAAAACATCCTCCTCGGTGTCCTTTGAAGAAACTATCTCATCACCTTCAAAGTCAGTGTGAAAACTTCCTTTGTAAGAGCAATCCTTTGACTTTTGCAGATCTATTCTAGCGATACTGCTAACGTCCTCAGTTTCAGATTCTGAGAACGAGTCTTCCTCTGTAGACTCGTCTACCTCAAAGGTTCCATTTTTCTCGCACCTGGACCTCTTTTCCCCTTTAAAGTTCACCACCTAATCGATCTTAGGGTGCTTCTAAACTTTGGGTTGCATCGTTCCAGCAAGAAGACCTGATTTTCTGTGCTTGGAACCCAAACCCAGGTCGTCATTGCCGCCTGGTTCCTGTTAACTGAGGCCAACCTGTTAGGTTGGATCGAGGGGGACGATGATGGACCATTATTAGCACCCATCATCGCCTCACAAGACTTGGTCAGGTGCCCTTTTAAAGTGGCATGCGCTTCACTTAAAACTGGACCCAGACCAAACTGTTTTAGCGGCCCATTTAATTCAGCTGGGCCATTCACTTTAAAACTGCCCGAGGCCCCCACTTGGCTAAAAGGTTAGTCCAACCCTATAACCAGTTTGGAATTAGAAGGTCGGCCCAGGTCCACCATTTGGAGTTCTGCCGACCTTGGGCTCTTCCTGTTTGAAATTTGAACACCTTGCGTGTGTTCATTGTCTTTAATAGCATTTGTCACCACCTCAGCATAGGACTTGCCAATCTGACCCACACTGTTTCCCAGCTTACCAAAACTAGCAAACTGCCCAATAACTTTCTTATTCTCCACTTGTTGCTTTGCCATATTAATGTTATGAGCCTTGCATTGCTCCCCAAGTAACCAGATTAGCTCTGTCTCTTCGTCTTCCTCCCTGCAACTTACCTTCCACAGCTCCACATCAATGGAGGTCACCATCCACACAGAGTAGGAGATTCCATCAGTTACCACCTCTACCTTCCTTGGTGTCTCATCAGGTTTGACACCACTTAAGCTAAGTGCTACAAAGTGAAGATCATGATCAAAAACTCCCTCTAATCTAGCATTGCATACTGAGGCTATTGAGCAAAACATCTTCCCTCTGGGGGTGAATAGAAATCCTAGCACATGAGCAATAACACCATCCTCAATGTTTAATCTACAGAGTTTGAAAGAGGAGCCTGAAGGGATGGGATATCCATCACATGGATGCCCAAGTCTTGCAGAATGGATTGGGCGAATTTCAAAAATTTCTCCCATCTTTGTCGAGAATCGAATTCCCTATTTTAGAAAAACATATTCTTCTAGGATCAATCTTGAACCATAAACCAAACCAAATCTGAACCAAAAGGTTAGGCGAGAGGATATACCTGATACGGAGAAACAGTATCTCTCAATGGAGGTGTTCACGCCAAAGAAAGGATCCAAAATCTGCTCCCACTGAAGATGGTGCAGTGCAGGATGGAGCAGAATCAGCAATGTTCTTCCAAAAGAACTTGACCCTTCGCAAGAATCAACAGGATGGCTTGTGAATACAGCTCCAATCAATCTTTTTCCCAAAAGATTGGTATCAAGATCAAATCTTGATTACTCCTAGAGAGAGTAGGAGATCGAACTACTGGAGGTGGCGGCTGTAGGAAGGAGGCGGCAAGAGAGTATTCGCAGGGTGCAGAATTCTCTCTTCTTGTGATTTCAGCTCTGAAAACAACAGTCTTAGGTTGCATGTCTAAAGGCTGCCGCCCCCTCCTCCTTTTATAGATTTAAAGGGATCAGCTCCTAATCCTATTAGGAGCTGCTGATCCAAATTATATTTGGATTAGAAGTCCCTTTAAGTGATAAGGGAAAACCCTTATCTTATTTGCAGATCAGATCA